TTTTTTTTGGTTTTTCTCCGGTACCGGGAACCGAACTCACGACCTTGCGCTTGCCAGGCAGGCGCTTCTGCCGCTGAGCTAAATCCCCAGCCCCAGTTACTAGTCTTATTATCTGAGAAATACACATAAATCATTGTTGAATTTTTGAGAAACAGGGTGTGTTAAATACAATGAATGTTTAAAAATTGAAAAAATTTATTGCAATAAAAGACATTGGCATGAATTCCTTTCGGAATACTCCCCTTTGTTTCAAACATACTTATCCCATTGTTCTTGCCACTTTCTACATGAAGCAGTTCTGGAAATGCTTTTTAATGAGTTTTCTTTTTGTGGCTGCCTCAATATCCTGAATCTGTCCACAATATTTACAGCAATTTCTCTCAAATAAAAACATTATATGTGTCCTTCTCTACCACATTCACCAGATCTGACACCGTGCGACATCTGGCTCTTTCCCAACGTCAAAATGACTACAAAAGATACATGTTTTGGATCAGTTGAGGGCATGGAGGCAGTCATGAACCTGTGCGATCGTCACTCATGAAAGAGGACTTCCAGAACTGCATCAGGAAATGGAAAAAATGATGAGATCTGTGTGTTTAAAGCAGGAGTGGAGTATTGTGTGGGGGATTTTTGTGTTTTTTGCGGTAATATTTTAAAATTTAAAGATTCACTATTTTTTCTTACATAGCTTGACTTGTTTAGCATAAATGTATATCTAGAATCAGTTGTTTTTAAATACAAATGAAATGTAATTTTTTCTGTGATTAACCTTTCACAAATGTTTGGTTTAGTTTCTGTAGAAAATGTTTCCTGACCGCAATGAGAGAAAGTGGAATACATTGTCCCTTGTGTCGTGGAAATGTGACTAGAAGAGAAAGAGCATGTCCAGAACGGGCCTTAGATCTTGAAAACATCATGCGCAAGTTTTCTGGTAGCTGCAGATGTTGTGCAAAACAGGTAGAAATGTGACATAGCTCTTCTGAAAGTTAAAGTTCTACTTTGAAATTCTTGTTTGAATTCCCTTGGTGGGTGCGCTTTTAAAGAGGGAGGTGTTATTTATGTTGGCAAGTAGGTAGAAAAGCCCAAAAGTGGTATGGCTATAGAATTTACTAGATTATAAACTTTTGGGGAATAGAAACGGAACAGTAAAAATCTCCAAATTTGCCATAATTTTTACGGTGTTTTCCTTGAAGTACTGGATCACTGATTACTTACTGAGTTAACTAAATGAAGACTTAGCCCCTTCATACCGCATTGTGTTTACAGATTCAACCCTTAGTTGGTTTTTTTTTTTTTTTAACAGTAATATTACATTAATGCAACTTTACACATAGAAATGTTAGTAGATTGGCCAAATGGATATAATTAATCAAGGAACTTTCTAGCTGCCCATTTTATTTATGTAGTTGTCTAAGAAAATCACACAGTAGTTTGTAGAAGACCTTGGTCCATTTTTAAGGAACAGGTAGAAAAAATCAGGTGTTGGCAAATAACCTTCATTAATTCTCTGATCTTGATTTCATTGTACTGTTGGAGAGGGAATGAAGTGGTGAGGAGTGGTTAGGCATTGAGTATTACATCTATGTGCCTATACATGTATTGGAGACATTTTTTCCTAATTGCTGATAAAGTCAGTGAGCAAAACTGGTTGCTATTTCAAATAGCAAAACTAGTCAGCTCTGCTTTTCCATCGCTTTGGAGGAAGTGTTGAACAAACTGGGCAATGAAAGGAAGCTGGAAAACATCCTTCAGAGATTCTGGGTTTACTCTTCAGTAAGAAACTGAAAAATATCCCTATTTAATTCTTTAAACTCTTTGAGGTTATAGCAGTTAAATAAAGAAATGGCCAATAGCCTGAGGCAATTTCTTAGTACTTTTCATTTTTTTTTAATAGTATCATTTCAGCTGGGCTGGTGGTTGGTGGTGCATGCCTATAATCCCAGCACTCGAGAGACTGAGGCAATAGGATTGCTGTGAGTTTGTGGCCAGCCTGGGCTACATAGAGAGTCCAAGGCCAGCCTCAACTATAGTGAGACCCTGTCTCAACTGAAAAAAAAGGGTACATTTCAAGTATAAAATTACTAATTAATTTTTATTTGACAGTATTTGTGGAAGATAGACTTTTTGTGCACGGTCTTTGCATCTACAGAATGAAAATATATTAGCTATTTTTAGCACCTCAAGAATTAAGGGGCCGTAAAAAGAATTAAGATGGGTTATGTATATGTCTCAGCCCCCATGATGAATGTAATCATGTACTGCAAACATGTATTAATAAAAATAAAACAGTTTAAAAGAAATCATTTATTTTTTAAAAAAAGGTTTGCTTAAATGGAATATTTAGTATTTTATCCTTTTTGTTGATAGTATCTCACATCTTGAGTTCTGTTTTAAATTAAAAATTACATTTTTAATCAATAATTTTCAGATTAAGTTTTATCGCATGAGACATCATTACAAATCTTGTAAGAAGTATCAGGATGAATATGGTGTTTCTTCTGTCATTCCAAACTTTCACATTTCTCAAGATTCTGTAGGGAACAGGTAAGCCATATTCATCCTTCCGAGTAGAATTGTGCAATTGAAATGGAATTGTTTTGGGACGTACATGGTTTTTAAAAAAATTTTGTGTGTTTAAATTACATTAAGGGGGATGGGGATTTAGCTCAGCGGCACAGCGCCTGCCTGGCAATTGCAAGGTTGTGAGTTTGAGTACTGGTACCGGAAAAAAAAAAAAAAATAAATAAATAAAATAAATAAATTACATTAAGTACAGAACTACAGCATTTGCTTCCAAAATTCATTTGGCATATTTAATTGTGTGTAGATCAGTTGTGTCTAGATTGTTTTCATGATGTATTTAAGCTTGTGTTACTTAAAATCATTCCAAGAATGTACAGTTGAGTTAATAAAAATTCAACTTTAGAGTTAAAGGCCTTTTAAAAATTGATTTTGCAACAGAAATGATTTGAAAATTAGAGAAAAATCCCTCTTAGTAATGTAATTGAAAATTAAAGTTTGATTTTATTGTTATCTAGCAAATAGTTACTTGAAATTTTTATCCTGATAATATATAAAAATTGAGACTTGGTACTATTACATTCTTCTATTTTACTCTCTTTTGGTGGTACTAGGGATTTAGTTTAATGGAAGGCCTTTACCTTGAGCTACATCCCAGCCTTTATTTTTATTTTATTTTATTTTATTTTTGTTTTTTTGGTCTTTTGGTGACAGGCTTTCACTTTGCAGTTCAGGGTGGCCTACAGCTCACTTTGTAGCCCTAGCTGGTCTTGAACTTGGTACAGTCTTCCTCCTCAGCTTCCCAAGTGCTAGGATAACAGGCAAGGATTACAGGTGTGTGCCACCACGCCTGGCTTTATTTTTTATTTTGAGATGGTGTCTTAACTAGTTGTCTGGTGTTACTCATTGAGGAATCTATTCTTTTCTCACTAAGTTAAAATGCCCTTTTGTCCTGCACATTTCTGTATCCTGTTCCTTTGGTTCATTATTTATTGCTCTGTTACTACATTATTGCACTATATTAATTCCTATGGCTTTCATAGTAAGTCTCTTGTTTTCCTTTTAAAAATATGGCCAATGTGGTGGCACATACCTGTAATCCCAGCACTCAGGAGACTGAGGCAGGAGGGTCAGGATACTGAGAGACAGGAGGATCTTACGAATTAGAGGTCAGCCTGGGCTACAAAGTGAGCTCAACGCCAGGCTGAACTACATAGCAAGACCCTGTCTCAAAAAAGACCAAAAAAAAAATTTTATGCTCTTCTTGAGCTGGGCATGGTGGTACACACCTATAATCCCAGCTCTTGGGAGCTCAGGCAGGAGGACCACAGTGAGTTTGAGGCCAGTCTGGGCTACATAAATGAGTTGAAGGCCAGCTTGTACTGCTTGGCAAGACCTTGTGTCCAAAAAAAAAAAAAGCTATCTCTTGACCCTTTACTATCTTTTCCTAGAAAAACCTTAAGGTTTTGTGGCAAAATAAATGGGCTTTTTGTGTTTAATTATCTTACTTGTTACTAATAAGTAGGAATATTAAGATTTTTATCCATATTCTTATGTCTAGCAACTTTGGTTATTATTTATAATAGTTCTAATGATTTACCCATAGGTTTTTTTTAGATTTATTATTTTTACTTTCTTTTGAGGGGGAACTATTGCTTTTTTTATGGAGGTAGTGTTGCTTTATTTATATATTTATTTATTCATTTATTTATTTGTTTTTTGGTACTGGGAATCAAAGTCACCACTTTGCTCTTGCCTGGCAGGCGCTGTTGAGCTGTATCCCCGGCCTTGTTGCTTTAATTTAATGCTTCATATCATATTTGGTTTATTATATTAAATAGGGGCTCTATCCAGTGTTACACAACGGGCATCTTTTTTCTTATTTTTGATTTTAGTGGGAATGTAATTAAAATTCTATCAACTGTGATGCTTACTATAGTTTTTAACTCCTTTTAGAGTTTTAAGGTACCTTTAAAGATATTTGGGTGCTGGGGATTTAGCTCAGTGGCACAGCACCTGCCTGTCAAGTGCAAGGTCATGAGTTTAATTCCCGGTACCGGAAAAAAAACCAAAAAAAAAAAAATAATAATAAAAATAAAGATATATGTATACTGCATGTGCTCCATGATGTTTATATGTGGAATTTGATTTCTTTATTAAATGGAGTTACTTGAAAGAATAATCTGTGAGAATTTGTACACAAATACACACGTCCTGCTTAGCTGATGTCCAGGGTCTAAAATACAGACCCATTTTTCTAATGTCTTGGGTCTAAAATCCGTACTGTGCCAGTTGTCAGTGCATGCCTGTAACCCCAGAATTTAGGAGGCTGAAGTAGGAGAATTGCCAGAAATTTAAGGCCAGTTTGGACTATGTAGCAAGACCCTGTCTTAAAAGAATAGAATAGAAATTGTGATTTTATGTACATATATTTTTTTTAATCTTTTTAAGTCAGGGTGTCACTATGCAGTTTAGGCTGGCCTTCAGCTCACTTTGTAAGCCAGGCTGGCCTCAGATTCATTGTGGCTCTTCTGCCTCAGCCTCCTAAGAGCTGGGATTACAGATGTGTACCACATGCCCAGCTCAAGAAGAGCATATATATATATATATATATATTTTTTTTTTTTTTTTTTTATTGTCTTTTTGAGGCAGGGTCAGTTCAGGCTGGCCTTGAGATCACTTTGTAGCCCAGGCTGGCCTCGAACTCACAACAACCCTCCTGTCTCAGCCTCCTGAGTGCTGGGATTTGTGATTGTGCATTTAACAGTTCATATAGTTGAACCAGGCACCGTGGCATACACCTTTAATCCCAACACTCTGGAGGCTCTAGCAGGAGGATCTCAAATTCTAGCCCAGTCCGGGATACATAAGTGTGGCTAGACCCCATCTCAAAACAAAAAGCAAAACAAAACAATTACGGATTTCCAGATGGTAGCCTAGGTATGATATAAGGATGGCTGTGGAAGACTAGACTGATGGTAATACTCTTCATACTGCAAAGTAGTTGTAATGAGAGAGCAAAGAAAGCATTTGAAAATCAGAAGTTTTATAAGCTGGTAACTCATGCCTCTAATCCCTGCACTTTGTGAGTCTGAGGCAGGAAGATTGAGAGTTTGATCCCACCTGAGTCAGTTTAGTGATTTTTGACTATTTCAAAATTAAAAATCAGAAAAACAAAAAATTGCTGGGGATGTAGCTCAGTGCAAAGGCCATGAGTTCAGTCCTCAGTACCATCAAAAAAAAAAGTTATGATTGCCTATTCCTATTGGTAAAGTAATTCAGTATATACTTCCAGTATTTGTATATTTATTTAAAAACAATACACATCATTTGAAAGCCTGATACTTGATGTAAAATTTAAATGCATTACAGGCTGGCCTCAAACTTGTGAGCGTCCTGCTTTCCTTAGCCTGCTGAGTGAGTGTTGGGATTATACGTGTATGCCACCATGCCCAGCTGAAGAACCTTTATGAAAGTGATCACGTTGATGAAATGCTTTATTAAGCTCATAAGTGACAATCAGTGGAGCAGCCCCAATTTCCTCTGGATTCTAGAATATTCCTTATCTGTGTTACTTGGGTGTAGGGTACAAGTGGAGATGTCAGAATGCTCTATGTATTAAATGTTAGTGAATCCTAGTTTCTTGCTTTTAGGGGATTGAAATATAACCATTTAAAATGTTAAAATATTTTCTTAAACCGGCTCCATTTGAGTCTATGTCACCATTTAAAAATTTACTGGTAGAGGAATAGAGTTAAGATAAATGCAAAATTCTATATTCGCTAATCAATATTTTTATAACTGCTTATTCATTTTAAAAGATACGGTTAAGACCCTAATAAGCAGTCCTATTTTAATTTACTTGAAATAATTAATGCCGTAATTATTTCATAGTCAGGAACTATTTGAAGTTCAGACTTCTGAAACAAATTCAGTCTATTGTTTATTAACAGTTTAAGTTAATGAACCTCTAGTGGACTTTATTATTTGGAGTATTAACTTTTCTTCCCCTTTGCTTCTTAAGTAATAGGAGTGAAACATCCACATCTGATAATACAGATACTTACCAAGAGAATACAAGGTAAGCTTTTGAAAAATTCTGCTACTTCACTAAATAATATTCATCACTTTATTAAATAATAGTTTTTTGGGTAGGTTTGTGAAACTGAGAAATGAATCCAGGGCCTTGCACATGCTAGGCCAAGTGCTGTATCACAGCTGCATCCCAGCCCTAGATTTCTGAGTTAAACTTTCATTCAGTTAATGCTCTAGCTTATAGTAGTTTAGAAATAAACTGGGCCGGGGATTTAGCTCAGTGGCACAGTGCCTGCCTGGCAAGCATGAGATTGTGAGTTTGATTCCCTGTACCAAACAAAAGAAATAACATACTTGTTGCCTTTAAGAATCAGATTAGCAGGTTGTGGGGGTGGCATGTGCCTGTAATCCCTGCACTTAGAGACTAAAACAGGAGGATCTATGTGTTTGAGGCCACCCTGGGCTACATAGTGAGTTTGAAGCTCATTGCACTTCATAGTGAGGCTCTGTCTCAAAAAGAAAAACAAAAACAAAGAATCACATCAAATTGGAAGAGGTAAGCAATGCTCTTTGACTGTTAGGTTTCTTCCGTGCTACTCAAGCAGAGTTACCAATGTTGAAACTGCCCCTGCTGAGTGCTGGAGATACTATAACCCTATTGATGCTTGATCTTTAGAATACTTTGAAGTACTTCATTTTGGTGATCATTTCTTTTATGTGTGCGTGTGTGAATGTTGTATGTTATATTCCTAGGGTGCGGGATAGATTAACGTGTTTCACTGGTGGTTCAAACCACCCAACGGTGAGACGTGAATTATGGCCACGTTGTGTTAAAAGTTTTATATCCTGAGATCCATGGGATAGAAGGTTTCCAAACTGTGAGGCATTGCAAGATATTTAAAATTTTCAGGGTATACACAGTGACATTTGTTGGCATTACATGAATGATTGTAATTGAGGTCCAGACTACTTCAAAACAGCTAAGTTTTTGGTTTTGTGTTAGACTATTAGGCACCATGAAAAAATTAACAAACAGTGGTACTGTCAATTGAGATTGAGAACTTCTACTCCAGATCATTTGTTGAGAACATTTTGAAAGTGCCATAATGCTTGAGTGATGTTAAAATTAATTAATTTTTTCAGTTCCTCTGGGCATCCCACCTTCAAGTGTCCCTTGTGTCAAGAGTCCAATTTTACCAGACAACGCCTCCTGGATCACTGTAATAGTAACCACCTATTCCAGATAGTTCCTGTGGTATGTATGAGTGTTCAAGGCAGTCTTGTGCTTAAAGCATGCTTTTATTTCATTTCATATATAGAGAACGGAAGATCATTGATGTAAATTTAGAATGGGGCCTGATGAGGTGGTGCTTGCCTGTAATCCCAGCACTTGGGGAGCTGGTGCTGGAGGATCACTGCAAATTCAAGGTGAACCTGAAGTGAGTTCAAGGCCAGCCAGAACTGCCTCAAAAAATAAAACAAGACAAAAATACAAAAATAGAAAGAAGAGGTGCTATCAAATACAATAGATTTTTGTCAATTTTGGTGACAGTGAAACAAAATAAGTTAATTAAAATTCCAAGAAGAAATTAAAATTCCAGTAATTTACATCATAAAATTGGAGGTGCTTACTGTGAGGTAGTATAGAATGGTCTGGAGAAAAATAATGAAAAATGAACATGGGGCTCATTATTGAGTAATAGCAGAACATGTTTCTGTTGGGCCTTTTTAGTTTTTTGCTCTTAGCTGCAGACTGTGGGTTTAATCAGATGAATCTGTTGCAGGTAAAAACACCTGTAAGTAAGAATAAAGCCAGTAAGTATTTTTAGTTTGTATCCGTGCAGGACCTACTACATTATATGATTTTATAAAGCAAAGAAGGAAAAGAATCATACTTTGATTTTAATGTATACATATGTCTTTGATGCCGTGTTGAGGGTGAATTAGAAAGTGATGGGAACTATTTGATGAATAATGAAGACAGAGCTGAGTGCAGGGTTCCAACATTATGGTAATAGTTCTAGAACACGTCACGTTGAACGTGAGTTTCCCAGAGAAGTGATTTTTAACTGTGGCTTGTGGAAGAGGAGTTGACTGAGCTGAAAAGAGCTACTTCCCTTTCCACTAAACATTTTGATACATAAATACTGTCTTCGCAAATATGAATGGAGGAAGATGTGTTGACAAAAATCGTATTTCTAAGATGTTTCAGTGGATGTTAGAACAATTTGTGAAAAACATAGCCTGCATTAACTGTTGAAAATTCCCTTAAATGCTTGCATATCCCCCAGGAGACAAATCACCTACTTTGCTTTTTGGAAGGGCATCAGCTTCTTTCAGATAAAGAAATGACAGTGCCAATGGAAGTCCCTAGGAAATCCTTTCATAGTTAAGAGACTTTTCATTGCCGGGGCATGGTAGCACAGGCCTGTAATCCCAGTACTCTGGGAGGCAGAGGGAGGAGTTCCAGGCTAGCCTGGGCTACAAAGTGAGTTCAAGGCCAGCCTGAATTGCACAGCGAGATTCTGTCTTTAAAAAAAAAAAAAGTGACTTCACTGATTATTATATTGGAAATTTTTATTTATTTCTGCATAATATTGAATGAATGTATAGTAAACTTTGGCTAGTGTCAGTTCTTTTTATATCATTTAAGTATTTCATCCATTTATTTTTAAAGTTGTAGTACTTCATTTGAAACTTTTAAGAGTAGCTGGGCATGGTAGCGCACGCCTATAATCCCAGCACTTGGGAGGCTGAGGCAGGAGGATCATTGGGAGTTGACGAGCCTGGGCTACAAAGTGAGCTCAAGGCCACAGCCCGAACTGCATAGGGAGACCCTATCTCAAACAGACAAAAAAGAAAAGAAACTTTAAGGGTACAACTTAAACTGTAGAATTACTTCATTACATTTTACATACAAATGATACGCAGCTAATAATTACAGTTTTGTGTAGATCAAATGAGATTCTATACTATGTAGTATGTTGTAGACAGTTAATATCTCAGAATTGGTGTTATAAGGCTGGATGTGGTGATTCTGTTGAAACTGTAAATGGAGATTAAAGTAATAGAGTAAGATCTCATTACATTGCATTATGTTACTGTTATTTAAGGTAATTTTGTTAGGAAATGACCTAGTGATGGAATTTTCCCTTTTGAAATGGTTTTCATGTACAGGCATACCTTGGAGATGCTGCAGGGTTGGTTTCAGCTGTCTCCAATAAAGCAAATTTGCAATAAAATGAAAAATCTATTTTTGATTTCTAGTGTAAGTAAAAGTTAATTTTACACTGTAGTTTTTTTTTTAAATGTCTGCAACAGTACTATGTTTAATAAAGACAAAATACATACTTTGGTAAAGAAATACTTTATTGGGGGCTGGGGATTTAGCTCAGTGCCACAGCTCCTTCCTGGCAAGCGCAAGCTTGAGTTCGATTCCCGGTACTGGAAAAGAACCAAAAAAAAAAAAAGAAATACTTTATTATAAGAAAGGAAATTAAGGGCTGGGGATTTAGCTCAGCTGCATAGCGCCTGCCTGGCAAGCGTGAGGTCGTGAGTTCGAGTCCAGGTACTGGAAAAAAACACACAAAAAAAGAAAGGAAATTAGCCAGATGTGGTGGCGCATACCCCTAAGGCTAAGGCAGGAGGATCGTGGGGAGTTTAAGGCCATCCTGGGCTGCATAAGTGAGTTCGAGGCCAGCCTGAACTGCATAGTGAGATCCTGTCTCAAAAGGAGGAAAAAAAAAAGAAAAGGAAATTAATGATCAGTTACTTGGTTGAAAAAATGGTGACAGCAGACTTACTCATGCAGGGTTGCCACAAGCCTTCAATTTGTAAAAAAAATTGTTTCTGTAAATGCAAGCAAAGTATAGTAAAACAAGATATGCCTGATGTTTTCAATAACATAAGCCTGTGTTGTTTTAATACTCTCAATAATTATATAACGTTTAATTATTTCATTTTTTATTCAAAACAATCTGTTTCTTGTAGACATGTCCTATTTGTGTGTCTCTTCCTTGGGGAGATCCTAGCCAGATTACTAGAAATTTCGTTAGTCATCTAAATCAAAGACATCAGTTTGATTATGGAGAATTTGTGGTGAGTTCTTCAAGATTAAGAAAGTACTGTTTAAACATTCAAGTGAAATGAACTTTTCAGTCTAGACCTGAGTTTTAAGGCAAGCAGTTGGAGCATATTGACTGGATATAGAGCATGTTCTTTTGTTTTTGATAATAATATTCTGAAATTTAAAGAAATGGTAAAAGCTGAATTTATTGTCTGTACTAGAAAGAGAATTAAGAGCAAACCCCTGCTTGACACTGTGATAAGTGCCTGAATCCCAAAGCACTCAGGAGGCTGAGGCAGGAGGATTGTGAGTGAGCTCAAAGCCAGCCTGGACTACATAGGGTGTTGATGGCCAGCTTGGACTACCTAGCAAGACTCAAAAAAAATGAAAGAAAAGAAAAAAAGAACAAACTTCCAGATAAACAATGATTTATATAAAAATTGTCTATAAAATTAAGGTGGGCCGGGGATATACCTTAGTGGCACAGTACCTACCTGGCAAATACAAGGTCCTGAGTTTGATTCCTGGTACCAAAAAAAAAGGAATTACGGAAGAATTGTACCTACTTGAGAGGTAAAATTGGTGCAGCATATTGAGGAGGATGTATTTCCATCTTGTATAAATTGCTTATTAAACCCACTGTAATAGTGCTCTCATCTCTAGCACATGACACATAGTTCATTTATTTACTTTTTAATTTGCTTTTAAAATGGAGCTTAATTGTCTTGTAAAGGTAAGTTGACAACTTAACAAGGTGAGTGAAAGAAGTCTTGTGAAAGTGGCTCCACAAGGGCTGGGAATGTAGCTCAGTGGTAGCAAGCTTGTTCATCATACGCTAAGTCCTGAGCTCAGTCCCCGTACTGCAAAAACAAAATAAGACGACAAGCTCCCCAAAGCAAAAATGTGTTAGAATTTTTCTTTAAAAATTAGGTGGTTTCTTTTTTATTAATTATGAAATTGCATTTTATTGAACTTAAATGTAATTAAGTCTGATTCAGAATTAATAGTGACAAAGAATGGCTGATACTTGTTTTCCAATTTAGGTAAGCAGAGGTATATGCAGTTCTCACCATGGCATGAACAAAGTTTACCTTTTCATTTTTTTTAATTTGGTGGGATTTGCATGTTTTAATTTGCTTTTTCAAAACAATTATGAGTGTATGTATGCTGGGGATGTAGCTCAGCGGCACAAATGCCTGCCTGGCAAGTGCACGGTCCTGAGTTTGAGTCCTGGTACCAAAAGAAAAAAGAAGTATATATGGAGTTCACCTGTACTCTGTTGTCTTAGCAATTTTATTACATAACTGTAGAGTATTACTTAGTTTTCATCATAAGAAGAGGTACTGTGTCTGAAGGACTGTATTTTGAAAAACAAAAATATTTCCTCAGCTACTTTTGATATATTTGTGAGGTTGTTTTACCTTGCCATAGAAAACTTTAATTTTTTGAGGTTAAACAGAAGCCTTTCTAGCTTAAAGCAAATCCATGGGACATAAAATTGATAACAAATCGCATTGTTGAAGTTAAGTAGTAGGTAGTTGTTTTTTGTTTGTTTTATTCTGTTCTGTTTTGTAAGTTAGCATGTACTTGGGCATGCTGGTAAAGGACACATTCCACGATGAAGCTACACTCCCGGCCAAGAACTAGTTTTCTTACGTAATTTACATTGAGTGAGCTGTAGTTTTTAGTTTCATGTTCTGGTTAAAGAGCTATTAGTTATTCCACTGTTAATTCAATAAATGCACTTTATCTTTAAAATGAGTTTGCCTTCAGATACTTGGCATTCTTCTCTAGAAATTCACACACATTTACCTCACATGACTGGATTACAGTTAAGTAAAATTTTGATTAATTATTACCAGGCACTATAAATTTTGTTCTCTGCCAATCTAATTTATTTCTAAATAAGTACAGCTGAACCTAATTTTTAATTAAAGTTAAGGTATTTCAGTCTTACTTATTTAATTAAAAGATTGGGTCCTGCTGTGTTATCCAGGCTGGCCTGAACTCCTGGGCTTAAATGATCTTTCTTCCTAACCCTCTAGAGTAGTAGGAACTATAGTGAGTAGCATGTCACTGTGCCCAGCTTAATCTTAGGTTTTTAAAGTACACTGTATGCTATACATAAATTGTCTTGAGTGTGTATATTGTATATCCGGGTGTGTAATGTATTGGGAAAAATACTAAATGGTTTAGTATTTTCCTATTGACATGTTAATTTTTTTTTTTTTTTTTAAGAATCTTCAGCTAGATGAGGAGACCCAGTATCAGACTGCTGTTGAAGAATCTTTTCAAGTAAACATCTAAAGTCTGTAGACACCTTTGCATCTTTGTGCCTGCAAGTGCCATCTTGAAGGGAAAATTACATGAAGTCATCGTTTCAATAACTTGATGTGTATATTAATAAAAGTACTTCAGTCTATTTAAGTTTTTTAATTAAAAAATGAAGGTAGGCCACCAAAAATTTTTATTTCATCCTTTTGACGAGTTAAAAAAATGAAAGTTACAATATTACTTTGAAAGCATGAAAAAGATTATATTTTACTAATGTATTGGTGGAAAGGGAATTCCTGTTGTACTTTATCTCTTTTTATATTACATATGATTGGATTTTTTTATTGCTATGTTGCTTTTGAAATTTGGTGCAATTCTTCCCATTTACTTTTTTGTACACAGGTAATACAGTAGCAAATCTGAAAGATGCTTTTAATGTAAACCTAACAAATCTGAGCCAGTTGTCAGAGTTGCAGAATGGAAACTTGAAGTGCTAAGGGGAATAATCCAAAGGAAGTTTTTAAAAATACATTCTAGCTGAAGAATTCAACTATGAAAAAAATGTATTTATATAACGTTCAGTATTTTTGAAAACTAGTGAGATTTTTCTTTAGCAATTAAACTTTAAAAAGTGTAAGGTCATTGTAAGAATATTTTTTTTTTTGCTATTAACGAGAAATATCAAGACAAAAATGTATTTCTTCGTTGAGCAGCAAGTCATTTCCATCTTGTTTGTTTGGCTCATTTGTAAACCTGATACATCCCAAGCTGTGTAACAGTTATTTGGCCTCAGAACTTTCAATATCCAGTGTTTCTCAATAGCTAAGATCAAACTTACAGTAGAAACTTTTGGGTGATGATACATTCTACAGATAAATGTTTTTAAAAAATGCATTCAGAGCTAAAGATATGTATGCATACATTTTTGTATGCATACGTATATACATACACATTTTTGCATGCAATGTGTCAGGTTATGTACAGAATTTCTATTAAGGATTTTAAAAATGAAAAAGCAATATAGGATTGAAGTGTTTATCTGGCTTGATTAAAATTTTGTATGTCACTGAACTTTAAAAATGTAACAAATGTTAAATGGAATAGTTGGCTGCTATTACATCTTAAAAATTGAGTTTACACATAATTACCTGTATATGGTGCTCATTTGTTACTCTCAAAAATAATGTGCAACTGGTAAATTTTTACCAGCCACTGTTTTCACTACTTTTTTGTCAAAATGAGGTTTGTTCTTAGTATTCAGTAATGGGAATCCTAAAGTATTTTGTGGAAGGGCCAAATTACAGAATAAAAGGTGAAGGAGAGTGGATTTGCTGACATTCCATACTAATATACAATGTTTATGCTTTCTTTAAAATAAATAACTAAAAAAATTTTAAAATCTCAGAAGTAGTTTGCTGCTAATACATACATATATTGTATAAAAAGATGTATTTTGGTTCTCCTAAAACCCTTGTTGACTTTTCTACAGTGAACATCTTTTTAAACTTGATTTAATAAAAGTTAATTTTGGAAGTGGAGTTTTTATAAAAACCTTTTTCAGCCAAACAGTAATGACTTTATTTATAGATAGTAATAATAATCACACAAAAAAGCCATACATCTTAAAGCCTTCATTCTGTCCTTCTCAAGTGATGTCAAAGAACTCTTTTAAAAAGAGACTTTGACCATAGTTTTTTCCATTTTAAAGCAATAACTTTAGTGATTTCTTTCAAAGTTTAATGTGTCCACTGTCAGCCTAAACCATTCTGGAATTTCGAAGATTCTTTAAAGGAAAATTGTAGTAGAGATCTTCTTGATGAAGTTGTATATTGAAATTTTGTGAATGAGTTACATATTAATAGCCTGGTGTATCTTTCGTATAAGTTTTGTCAATAAGGAAAATAGTGACTTTGCTTTTCTATGGGAAATTCTCAGTATGGGAATAATGGTTTAAAATCTCCCTTCCTTTGGTCAGTGGGTTAGGAGTAAGGATGGTAGACTACAGATTTAATTCATCATCATCTCATTTATGGAAAAAGTCCTTAGTTTTAATAATTGCTTTAAGATGAGCCAGGATAAAAGAGGGAATACTTGAATACCTAAATTTCAGAAACTACTTAGGAAAGCTTTCTCAACAAATTACTGTTTCTGTTATTACCCACGGTCTTATTTGAAATGTATGGCTTTATTTTTCAATTAAAAGTGGCTTTCTCCTACCTGTGTGTCTAACTAAAATTTGTCTAGAGGCAGACAGCAGCATCTAACTCACAACGCAGCCTGAAAGACGTAGGCGATGACCCATTGCTGTGCACCTAAAGTAGATAGGCAGCAGCAGCCGCACGCTGACGCTCTGTTGGATTTAACGTCACATGTTTCTCTATCCAAATGCTAAACTTCATTATAAACCTATTTCATAAAGTGTCTGTGGGGCAGTTCTAATCCTGTTAGCTAAACAAAGGTAGTTAGGTGGTTAGTATCTGTGTACAGAAATCACCCTTACTTAGGGCACCGAAGCTATGTACGTGAATACATACATTGCCGATTACAGAGTTGTGTGCTAGTGTGGCTGCTTGGTGAGTATCTTCGTTAAACCACATTCTACAAAACCTCCTTAGGGCTCCTGCTCAAACAACCCTTTATAGAAAGTGATATTTTAGCTTACGGAGAAAAGGTGTGACCCAGAAAACATGTTCATACATGTCTAAAGTTCATCATTTTCTGTTTCATAATACCTTAGTGATATTACCTAGTATACAATTTCTAGATTTTGTAGAAGTCTGAAAAATGGAACTAAAGTATGTAGAGATTAAGGGGAGGGGAATACAAGGACTTCGAGAAAATGCTTACCTCTGACCCAACAGCAGTTGCCTAGTGGGGTAGAGAGAGCAGTCGTTACACTCCTTCATCGTAGAGTGAGGTATAGAAGTGGGTATACTGCATTGTGTGCTTGGTTGACAAACCAGATCATGCAATTTTCTTTTCTTTTTTAATTTTCTATATCATTTAGTGCTGGGGATTGAAGTCAGAGTCTTGTGCATGCTAAGCATGTTCTTTACCAATGAGTTGTACTCTTAGCCCCTATACAAGAGAAATTCTTAGCATGATTATGAAAGGGGCTGTTGCGCAGAATTCAAGAGTAGGAAAAGAGTGGATAGGGAGTGTAAGACACTGTAATCAGTTCAATGACACACTGGGGGATATGGAGAAGAAGGAAACAGACAAAGTGGACAGGGAATTTCACGAGTGGGCGTAATAGTATGTGATTCTGAAAGTGAACAGTAAACTGAGTAGTCCTATCAAGAAGAATCATGTGGTGGTGCACTTGGGAGGCTGAGGCAAGAAGATCCCTGTTGAGTTCGAGACCAGCCTGGGCTACAAAGTGAGCTCAAGGCCAGCCTGAACTGCATAGGGGAACCCTGTCTCAAAAAAAAAAAAAAATCATTTCTAGGATCGTGTTGTGTCTCCTTGTTTCACAATTCTTTTTACCAGAGATTTTTTTTTTGCTTGCTTTTATACTTAATAGGGGCATATGCAGTATTTTATTTGGCTACTTTTGCTCAGCATTTTTGTATTTTGCTGTTTTTTTTTGAGACAGGGTCTCACTGTGCAGTTCAGGATGACCTTGAACCCACTTTGTAGCTCAGGCTGGCCTCAAACACATCAATCCTATCTCAAGCTCGAGTGTGGGGATTACAGACTTGTTCCACTCCAGCTGGCTCCGATTTTTAGTTTTTGTCATGCTTGATTTTTACCCAATAATTAACAAATTCTCTATAAGGACATTTATTTGTAATATTAGAAATATTTCAAATAACTTGGTAGTCAAATGTGTAAACATTTTTTGCTTTTTTTTTTTTTTTCCCCTCTCTTTTGAGACAGGGTCTCCCTATGCAGTTTAGGATGTCCTTGAGCTCACTTTGTAGCCCAGACTGGTGTCGAACTCAGAACGATCCTCCTGCCTCAGCCTTCTGAGTGCTGGGATTACAGGTGTTTGCCACCACGCCCGGCTGTTTTGCCTTTTTTAAGAAGAGTCTAGCCTGGCATTGATCTCACTCTGTAGCCCAGGCTGGCCTTGAATTCCCAGCTCTTAGTCCTCCTGCCTCAGCCTCCCGAGTGCTGGGATTACAGGTGTGTGACACCCTGCTCAGCAGCCTCATATTTTTAGTGGAAAATGCCTTGGAAAACATTTTACAGATGTCTTGAATATTTGGCTTAATGGAGACAGTTGGATTTTTTTCTTAGATTGAGCAGCCCTAATTGGAAATCAAAATGCCACCAAGTGTGAAATTTAAGGGCTTGATTCAATCCTTTGATAAGCTGTAAACGGGTACACTAAACATAGTGTTGAAAATGTGTATAAGATATACACATTTGGCTATGTGTATAAGATACCTATGAAGTCTAAATGGATTTTGTGTTTAGCTGTGGGGCCCTCAATATATTTTATTACATATGTGCATATGCAGTGGACCTTTGACTTCCCGAACTCCATTCGTCCCCAAGGGCTGGTTGTAACTCAAGTTGTCAATTGAGGGGTCAGGCTCCTCTGTAGAGTCCTGAAAGGCTGTCCTGGGTACAGGCAGATGTCAGTATCCTTAGACATTAGCCCAGGATTTTTCAGCCCCATACAGGAAAGTGTGTTCTATTCCTTCCAGACTCTTTTAAGGGTTAACTATCTGAGACCCTTTGGAAGCAGAGGTGTTGGCATTTGGGGCAAGACTTCAGTCATAAGTTAAAACTGAAATATCGGGCCTGGGGCTTTAGCTCAGTGGCACAGCCACCGCCTCGCAAGCACAAGGTCGTGAGTTCGATTTCCGGTACTGGAAAAAAAACCAAAAAAAACCCCCAAAAAACACCAACCTGAAATACCAGTCATAACCCAAGTTGCATGTCGCAACTCGAGGGTTCATTATATTTCAAAATACAAAAAGTGAGATCAGGGGTGCTGGGTATTTAGCTCAGCGTCACAGCACCTGCCTGGCAAGTGCAAGGTTGTGATTTCGATTCCCGGTACTGGAAAAAGAACCAAAAAAAGGTGAGATGAAACACTTCTGGTACCTAAGCACTTCTGATACAGGATATTAAACCTGTGTGTATCTGCATCTGCTTTTGATCTTCACTGAGATTACTTTGGTTGAAAGGCATGAAGGTAATCTAGTCTTACAGATAATATACTTGGAAGAGATTTTTGTAAAACCTTGAAGATAATGAAGGTGGATATTCTTTGATACTACACCATGACAACAAGTGGGAACTTTGTAAAAGGTAAATTTAACTGGTCACTGTTAACAGTAAAATCCAGCCAGGCATGGTGGTGCACGCCTGTAATCCCAGCACTCAGGAGGCTGAGGCAGGAGGATTTTCGCAAGTTTGAGACCAGCCTGAGCTACAAAGAGCTCAAGGCCAGCTTGAACTGTATAGTGAGACCCTGTCTCAAAAAAACTAAAAAAAAAAACCCCAGTAAAATCCATTGTTCTACCTTGCATTTTGAATAGATCTTTTCCTTATGCATGGTTGAGTAATATTGTAAAATGGTCAGTCTGAAGATAGTGCACCTAGTTATAAAGATCTTCCAAATGTTGACATTTTTGATACTGTATCACATTAATACCACTAATCCCACCAGTTCCAATGTTCTGATTTTTGTGTAAAACTCAGATTTTATCATTGGTAACAAATGGTTGCTTCCTTAAAATGATACTCATTTCCCCCCAGATAACTATAGCTGAATAAGCATGGTTTTTTTTATCACTCTTAGGTAAAAATAGTCAAGCCGTGAAAAAAGTATTTGGTTGATCTCATAAAAAAAATTTGCTTCCATTGACCTGTGAATGGACCACCCTTTTGGAATTTCCCATATGAATTGACCATTATCTCACTATAGGAGAGCCATCCTTTCCCACCCACTAGATAAAACTTGCTGAGATAAAATACCTGATGCCCAAATAAAGGTTTATTTAGTTCACAGTTTGTAGGGGTTTGAGTCCATAATCAGCTGGCTCCAGGCAGGGTGGCATGGCAGAGGGGCAACATTGCAAGGCAGGAGAAGGCAGCAAAAGCAACAACAGCTAAAAGGGAGGAAACAGACCTCTTTTCCTTATATTGTATGCAGGCTACCCACCCCAGGGTGGGTGTAGCACTCACACCATGTCCTGCCTTCCTCTTGTACAGGCTCAGGTTGTTTCCAAAGTGAGGACCCTGGCCCCCTGCTGAGTCAGTTAAACTTAACAAAGGTGAGAATGAATCAACCATTGCCGCATGCTAGAGTGCAAACAGCCACCCTAGACCATGTCCTCTACACCCAGGATGTAGAACTGCTGAGTTACTTTTTAAATTTTATTTTATTTTATTTTAAAGAGTAAAAGAAGAATAACAATAATGGGGGGGCCTTACCAAATTACAGACAAAGTGGTAGGAAATTATCAATGGTTATTGTTTTACATACTGTTATCTACAAGATAGTTTCTCAGGAAAACAAATAGACAAATAATAGTTACAGACAAAAGAGGTAGGAGATTATCAGTAGTTGTACTCTACTTAGGTATCTTCAAAAGAAAATAAATAGAACTATACATGAGTGACCTATTGATCATTAACTATTCTCAATGGTTGTTGTAGGAAACACATAATAATAAACATGCATCCATTTATGAAATAGGATAGGAACAATACAAACATTACAGAGTTAGGGATAGATGAGTAGGAAAATATCAATGACTGCTGTAATACATGGTGGTATCTTAGAAGTGGTTTCTCAGGAAGACAGATATGCAAGAAGGATCTAATAAGTAGTTACAGCCTAAGGGTTGTCAAAAGTCAAGTGAGCCATCTGGGGCCAAAGCCATTTTTTGTAGCGTTTTCTCTCCAGCCTCCCATCGCATTGGGGCCCCACAACCAGTTAGTGTCCTCTCCCCAACTGTCAGCACCGGCAGCAGGAATCCTGTTACAGACTTCTCCGGGGCTCCACCACAGCCTGTACTGTCAAGAGAAGAATGGCTTCCAGGAAGTCTCTGCAGGTATTGTGCAAGGTCCTCCTGGTTTACAGCTTCTGAGCAGCTCTCATGACTCCAGTCTACCGAACCTCTGACCCTTTGGGCTTAGTCTGCATTCTCATGTTCTCCGAGTCCTTGTTCAGCAGCTACTCCTCTGCTGACTCTAGACCTTTCTGGTTCTCAATGGCAGGAGCAAGAGTGTGCTGTTGTGTAGGATGTATTCC